GATTTATGTAACGGTAGATCGTGTGTGACCTTGTGACTCGCAGACTTATTGAAAAACTTACATATAGTGGTGATCTACGATCACAACAAATCGCATTTTCATATGATAAAAACAATCACCAGAATTGGCAAGAGGTGTAATGTTACAGATTCATTTTCATTGCGTATCAAGTGTCCAATACTTTTTTCCACCCCCTGTACATACCTTTGATGTAATTGTCATTCCAGCTTTTAATGATGACCAGATGGCATCATAAGATCAACAGCAAGATTGTACGTAAAATGACGACTTGGGTTTCGCCAAAAGCTGATTTCAAAGACCCAAACCTTAATAAAAATGATGTGGTGTTTAATGAGGTATATACGAGCAAGACATGTAGCAATTGTGGGTGAATACATCAGAGGTTAGGTGTAGGGTACCAGAGTGATCTTAGAGTTTTTTTTTTGGATAGGACTATCCTATTATAGGTGATTTGTCTGATTGAAGCCATCAAAATAGTAATTATTACAATGGTAATTTGTCCAGAGCAAATAAATAACGGGCGTCTTCACGTTATTTCGATTACCTGCACGTTATTTCGAGTACGCTCATGTGCGTTGTTTCGAAATAAAGGGTCGATTTTCTGAACCCGATGGGCGGTATATAAAAGAATGTCAATCTGTATTTCTCTCATTTCTACAATGACAATACTTACATACGAATTTTTGATCTCTTTTTTTAAACCGTTCTTAAATAAAAAGCTGGGCAGAAAATCGGCTCTGGGAACGTTATGCTAATTACGAACTCATAAAACTCCAACGTTGCATTCAAATAAACTACATACTGCATGTACGTACACATGTTATGTATGCTTTGTAAAAAATCTAACTTTGCATATAAAAATTATTTATATTTTAAGTTTTATTTTGAAAATTTTCTCCAATTTAGAAAATTAATTAATAAAAACTTGGCATATGTTTATATTATTAAGAAATAATTAAGTTATTTCGGAACGTACATGGGGATTATTTTGAAACCAACTATGCTATTTTTAGAAAGTGCGATTTTCGAAATAACACCCATGCCCGTTACGTATTCCGAGAATTTATGGGAAGTAATTTGCATACCGATACCGAAATGTACGTACGTATTTGTATTAGTTTCGACGTCAAAAGATTATCAATATCGATATATTAATATACTGAGTATTGAGTATCCCAATAAAAATATCAGAATCTGTCATTGATTACTCTCAATCTACCTACCGTGTATCTTAAACTTTGAAATTCAAGGTGGAAATTTTATGCCGTTTCCTCCTTGCCAATTATAATGTTAGAAGTAATTGAATTGAATAGTTTTGCCTGAAAAAATAGAAATCGTTAACAAACAGAGAATATTTCAGTAGCATTAAATTATGATGTTTCGGGAATTCTGGCAGAGAATAGACATTTAAGTCAGGTAGTATTTTAGCATTTAATTAAGATATTACCTCAATGTCAAATGATAAATTTGTGTAGATTGTTTTTAGATTATCGTTATCGTTAACGATAAAAGCTCTTTATAATGTTAACAAAGGAATTGATTTACACAGTACAGTGGAACGAATATTCGATAAACTGGGAAAATTCTGGTGTATCAGGTTTGCAGCTACTAAATGGGAAGTTCTTGAATAAAAATAGCACTTTGGAAGTTCTTGTATAAAAATAGCACTATGGAAGTTCTATAATAAAATCGCACTAATGGAAGTTCTATAATGACATTCTTTTTGCTATCATTTCTAAGTTTAAATGAATACGTACTAACTTTTAATGACAGTTGACTCTCATTAAACCGAAACACTAATTGAAACTTGAAAATACCGAATTTATTAAATAAATTTCGATCAACTGAATTTTCAAAATTTTCTACTAGTAATCCCGACACTTCGATTTATCTGGTCAACTGTAATCACCAAAATCATTTAAATCATATCCACAAAATGAAACTCATAAAGAAAATGAAACTCGAAAAGAAAATCAAAGCTGTTTGGAGAAGGGTTCACTGTCGTGTATGTATTCATTGTCGAAAAAATCAGTACTGCTATGGATGTTTTGAATATCACAAACGAATTTACAAAGCTGAATTGTCCAGTGGAAGTAAAGATATCGATAATCTGATAAAAGAATGCGCGAAACTTAGATCTTTTGAATGGATCCCATTTGAAAGATTTACCAATGTTGAATGTCTTGCAAAAGGAGGTTTCGGGATTATTGATAAAGCATGGTTGGACGGTCCATTATCTGACGAATGGGATCATAAAGGAAATAAATTTAAACGGCTTAAAGAATGCAAAGTTGTGTTGAAATCACTACTTAATTCGAAAAATCTTACGTGGGAGTTTACAAACGAGGTAAAAATAAATTTCTAACGTGTAAGCACGATGTCATTTTGTTTTCTAATACAATTAAGTTTTTCAAAATAGATTCAGACTGCTCTAAAATGCACTGATGATTCTTTCAAGTATTATGGAATAACTAAAAATCCAGTTACAAATAAATACGCGATTGTCATGGATTATGCAAAACATGGAGATCTACGCAAATATATTAATTCCAAAAATGAACAATTGACTTGGAAAGAAATATTAGATCTCTTACATAATCTGCTCTTAGGGCTGTGTAGAATTCACCGAGAGGGATTCATGCATCGTGACTTTCATCCTGGAAATATATTAATGCATCATTATGCACAAATTGCAGATTTTGGACTTACCAGTTCAACTGATATAAATAAATCAAATCAAAAAATTTATGGAGTTCTTCCTTATGTTAGTCCAGAAGTGCTAAATGGAAAGCCATACACTCAAGCTGCAGATATTTATAGCTTTGGAATGGTTATGTACGAGATTGTAACAGGCAAACCACCATTCGGTGAGCGAAATCATGATATAGATCTTGTATTAGATATTTATAATGGAGTACGACCTGTGATACCAAATAATATTCCCGGATGGTGCAAATTTATTATCGAAAAATGTTGGAATCCTATTCCAGAAAACAGACCAACTGCTGAAGAACTTGACGATTTTATCTGGTCTATCTACTTTCCGGAAGACAAACCGAATTCTTTGCATTTTCAGTACTACAGCTCTTTAGAGAATCCTAAAACACATAAAGAAATTGAAGAGTGTCTTAGACTAGAAGAGCGGAAATTAAAAGAACTTGATGAAAATTTGCAAACAAACATTCTTACAAATATAAACAAAACACAACGTATTCATCCACGTGCTCAAATTTTCACTACAAAAGTAATTTCAATTCTAACAGACTCAGGTACATTTTATTTTTTAAACATAAATTATATTGACATTTCATATTAAAAAAAATCAAATTATTTAGGCTCTATAAGTGTCAGTTTGTATGTTCCAAGCGATTTGAGTATACCACATGAGATCAAAGAGAATTAGGAGATATCGAGTGTCTCGCAAGAAAACTCATGATGAATAAAGACTCTATTAGAACAACATGGTAGCTATTTTACTTTATTAGCAATCATAAGAATTCTATCTTTTTTAATTTGTTTTTCTAAAACAATATTGATCACGATTTTTAAATTTTATTTTCATTGATCATTTTTCTACAAAATATTAGATTGGCTTTAGATCTGGAATCTATGCTAACCCTTCCCATGACCATGGTTGTTATTTTTTTTTATAAAGTATGAGGAAAAGTATCAAAATAAAAACTTAGCTATTTGTGAAAACTTGAATACGAAAGCTGACTTCTTTTTATTTCTTGAATAATATTTCTCTTTCTATTGAAATTCCTAAACTATACGACTTTCATAAACATTAATTTTATTCCCTTTTTTTATCACTTTCAATTGTATGCATGTCGTAAAACGATCTGTGTTGGTGCATGAATGCTTTGGATGTTCAAGCTGCCGCCTTTGCCAGTATAGATTTTTTGGATTTTTCAAGATTTCACTTATTTCCAATTGCGGAAAAATTTTTAACATATAATTGGTCTCATTCTAAAAAAGACTGGCGTGAAAAAATACATGGTATTTCTATGTCGAAATGTAATCTCAGCTGTAATTCAATCACCAAAATTCTGTCCAGATCGCAAAATCAATAAAGAAGGCCATCCAGTTACGCGAAATTTTAATAAATTAACGAGACTTTCAGCTTAAAAATTCGGGTTAAAAACTATTTGTAAATAAAAATCGTGAAGAGCAAATTAAAATGACATTACTAGCAATAGTTCTTATAATTTTTTTTGACACATCAAATGGCATTCGAGCCTGCATTGACATGGAATGATAATGTATCATGTGTTGATTTTTTAAGAACATGATGCTGGGGGATGTTATTTGTTATTTACCTGATTAAATTACCAAGTATTAGTATAATTATTTCTCTTTAATTAGTGTAAAATTTGAAAGTAAATTACTTATTACAAAAAATCTAATAATTTTTATAGAAAATCAGTGATTTCATTTAAACCATCAGTTTGAACTGTGGTTTGAGGTAGTTTTAATAAAATTATTGATTTTTGAGATCATTATTTTTGTAAAATTATGTACAATTAAAATTATATTATTGTAAATTAAGTAACTTCTAGTAAATTTTGAAGAAAATTAATAATTTTATTTAACTATTTAAACCAATAAACTGCAAAATATTTATATATATAAGCATTTCAGAGATAATATTTTTGCATGGTTGTTTAAAAACTGTTCTTTTCTTTAAAAAATTACCTCCCATTACTTTCTGTGGAAACTGTACGCATTAATAATATTATACTATCTATAAAATGAATATGATATTAAAAACATCAAAAAAACTTGAGTTTGTATATATAATAGAAAAATAACTTGGTGGCTGCTTTTTAAAAAGCTTTTAATCTATTAGATATACTAGTAGTTCTTTGAATTATTATTATTTGATTTCAGTGATTGCTCAAGATCATTTGGTTAAAGATTATATTTTTGTAAGATTGTGAGATAATGAAAAAATCCTGTTCCTTGTGACATGTCTTGTAAAAAATTGCAAAGTACAAACTTTAATATAGTGATTTGTGTGCATTTATGGAGATTGCATTTAAGAAGAGGTGACTGTATGTGCTAATTTTTATTTGAAGCTTTGATAATAATGAATGAAAGACAATTTATGCGTTAAGCACCAGTCGTGTGTAAAATCGTAAAAGAAAAGCTGCATCTTCATAGAACTTCTGTAACACAGGACATCAGACGATACATGAATTACTAAAATAAATCTCACTATTATTGTACATGTACGTATATGAAAATGACACATTATCAATGTGTCAGATCATTACGTAACTTTGTATAATATATAACGATAACGATAAGTACATACGTAATTAAGATTGTTGTCTACAAACCAAATAACGAACCACACGACCAATAAATAAAAAATTCATTCTCTATGAGCTGATAAAAATCAGTCAAGCATCTAAATGTTTGCGGCACTATCATTGTCATATTAGATCATGAAACCATTTA